TCCTTGTTATAAACTCTACTGTTGTGGGAACGAAATTTGCGTACAGGGATTTCGAAAGATGCGCTGTACTACGGCGAACGGGAGGATTTCCAAGCCGAAAATTATTCTTTTATCCTCGCGCGATCATTGTTCGTGAACCGCTCGCGTCGCCGACGATGGAAACCGTGATACAAGCGCATTGTATTCTGGCTTTACGCGTCCCGTAAACTAATACAGTATTGCCCCCGTAACTTCGCGAAACGTGTGAGGTTCGTCGGGGATTCCTCGAACGCCTGTGCCGGATCGCACTGCTAGACGATAGGTGAAGGAGGAAGAAAGAAACGAGACGTTAAGGGGGGCGCGAGGAGAGACGCGAAATTACGGAAGCGATACCATCTGCAAAAATTCGTACGTCATTGGTGTAACGCATCTATTTCATTTAGGGAACACTGCAGGTCTACTATATCATAACACTAAATCGAATATTTCAACATCGTTACGCGACTGACCCACGTGGTCGGGATAACTCTGTCCGCCTCACGGATCATCAGTGACGCGTATTCATAGAAACCCGTAGAAAATAAATTGCCTCCTACTATGACCCCGACTCTGTCCTCGTAGCTGCGTTTCGGTAGCTGCGGCGGTCGCGCGAATAAAAAATAACTGCCACTTCGCACAGAAGTATTGTCGAGAAAGACAGCAATAATCAATCAATCCGGTTTCAACGCTCCAGCGGTGTCGCGAAATTGCCTGTTCCCAGGAACGATCGATAGGTATTTCTTTCTTTCTTGCTATTCTTTCTTTTGTAATAGTGTTTTCTTTTTCTTTCGCCTCGAACGTTGCGCTGCGTCGTCAGATAAATCTGCTCGAAATTCGCATCGGTATATTATGCGCTTGTATACTGGCGATGCACGTAATTACGTCAGGCAAGGCAGTGATTATAGCATACACTTTGCTGATCATCTCACGCATGATCGATTGAGTTCGGTACGGAATTGATCAATTCCGATACTCTGGGTTGTTGCACAGGAATCGGTGGAACTTCTAAATTGATCCTTCAGACGTTTACCAACGAAATAATGCAAATGTATTGGTGTGAATTATTGTTGGGCTAAGTAGCGGCGCGAATTCGATGCGTCCATAGCAAGCGCAATAGTCCCAAACTTAACACAGCGAAGAATGATCAAAATAACGCTGAGATTATATAGTATTGGTATGTTAGCGCCAATGCATTTCAACGAATGGTAAGTCACCATGCCCTCGAAAGATTTGTGATAGGACTTTAGCCTGTGGTTATGTGTAAGGATGAGTGAATTTAATAGACCTGTCCTTAAGTTATTTTCGCTGATCATATTGGTTCTTCTCGCTACCACTTGCATTGCAGAAAATAAGGACATCGTTCCTGAAGGATTTAACCACAGAGTGAAAAAGGCAAGCGTCTTCTGCTAAGAAGACTGTACTCGACTGCATGACACTCACCCCAAAGCAGTTAGAGTCCTTCTGTATTTCGAATGCATATTTCGCTAACACGTACCTTTTAATTTAGCCATGAAGGTTTTCGTGTTTCATTCGGGAAAGTGAAGTTAAATTCTATCTGTTAGTGGACCTATAATTATGGAAGACATGTTCGAAGAATCAAACTTTGAATGTGAGAATAGGACACGTACCTATTTATATTTATTCACTTATTTATTTATCTATATTAGTAATAGTATAATGTGATATAGATGTCTATATTATTTATAATACAAATAAATAAATAAGTAACGATTTATTTACCTATATTTAGGAAAGATCAACATTTATTTATAGCTTTATCTATAAAAATAGGACCACTAAGCTTTTATTCGATATGACAATTTAAAAAGCATCTACTTATAAACAAATACAGAGTAAGAAGAGAAGGACTCTTACGGTTCGTAAAACAATGTATCCGTTAGCGAAAGCAGCCATTTCCTGTGCAACAACTTGTCATCGTCAAACGTTATGATAACCCCGGGCAGGAACAGACCTCGCGAGTTCAACGTTAAATGACCCTTTTACACATTTCTCTACCTAAAAAGTATTTAGTATTTGTTTCTTCATTGTTAACACGTTACACGGTCTAATTCTCTGTATCGCATAAACATTTATTATTCACGTCCACTGTAGACAACGGTATCGTTCCTTCATATTGGAGATAGCTTGTTTACAACGATACTAACTCGTCTACTGATTTCTCTTCTCTCTGTTTCTGTTTAACGTAATTCGGAAACGGATCGAGAGTTAATAAACTACAGAATCTACAAGAGTCTACCTTAAATAATTCGAATAATCCGATTTCGATTCGACTTCACGGCTATAGTACAATGTTACAAGCATAGTTTCGTGGTGGATCGTCAATGATCGCCGACGGATCCATTGAGATCGGTCCGGCTGGGCGAGATCTAGCGATATTGGATAAATGATGTCTTATATTATACGCAAGGTAAGATCAATCGATGAACGAGCAGTTTGGGCACGCACGTTTCTTTCTTTTTCTCATTCTTTCTTTGTTTTTGTTTTTGTTTCGTTGATTCAGAAACGTCGTTATAGATCCCGCGCCGTGTGGTTCCAATACGCTAACCCAAGTATCATTTAGTTTCTTTTTGTTTTACACGGTATACAGGATTCAGACTTTCTTAAACGTTAGTAGTAATGCTCACTGCGTTTCTTTTTTTTCCTACCCGCTGTTAAATCAACGTGGCTTTGTCTGAAATCATATTCACGAGCTCTGAATTGTGTTCGTGTACGTTAAACACATTTCGATTCATCAGGCACCCAAAAAAGGTTTAATTGATTTCTTGAACGATCCATCTTCTTGAACAACTTTATGATTTCATTATATTTTATATATTTAACTATATATAAAATATTTATTGTATTCTCTCGTGAAACGTCATTCAGTTTCTTTTCACAAAAGTGAAATTTGAATTGAATATGTACACAGATATTTTTCGGTATTCTATTGTCTTGTTAATTATGACAAGATAACCAATGGTAGATTACGTTCCTTGACAGAAAAAATCGTTAATGATATCAGGAATGATTACACAGTCGTATTGTTTACAAAACACAATAATATAACGCTCATTCAATACTTAAATGAAAGGTGAAGAGAGGAGAGGCTTTCTTGGGAACCCAATGAATCGTCTAAAGCTATTGACAGAAGGAGAAAATATGCTAAGAGTAAAAAATGTAAAAGAGTTTACAATATTGACACTTAAAATCATATTCCATTATCTATACCAAATAACTAGATAATGAACTCTGCTACGGCCCTCAATTCAGGTATAGATTTCAGCTAATAATGAGGAAAAGGAAACATGAATATTGGTAACAAGGTCCTTGCACTTTTCTCAAATGTATAATCATTTTAAAAATGAAAACCCAATTATTGAGTAGAAAATAACTGGAGGACCGTAGTAGTGTTGAAAAAACGAAAATTTGATAGAACCAAAAATGATCTGAAGACGTTGGCAGGGTTAGGAGAGAGGTGCTGCATTACTAACCTCTTCTTCGGAGGCTTGAGTAAAGGCTGCTATTGCCTGTTGGACTTGCGGAGCAGTGGGTGCACTAGCAGGATGCGTTGCAGCTTGTTTACCAATTTTTACGGCATCCTGTGTCGCTTGTGACGACTCAGTCCTCCTAAGATAAGCAGCCTCCTTTTTAGGTGGTACCACCGGTTTATTCGGCGGTACTGGAGGAGGAACTCCGCGCGATATTGGTGGCTTTTTCGAGGGCAGCATACCGGATGCTTGAACCGTCGAACCAGAGCCAACATGAAAACCAAGTTTGCCTGCAGTTTGCGTTGGCGGTATAAGTTTTACCGCGCCTCCAGGATTAACAGGAGCAGGTACAACCACACGTTTGTCTACAGCCTGAGGAATGAATGCACACGAGAACCTATTTAACCTTCGGGCTATCCCTTTGAAAACGCCTCGTCATAACGGTACATGTAGATTTAGAGCTGGCGTCTAAGAAAAACTAAAAAGGGAAGAAATTACACCAAGATACCGAACCAAAGCAAAAAAAGAAGAAAACAAAGAAAAAATTAACTTATAGATTGAAAAAAAGATCATATTGGTTCCTGAGTAAAGCCTAATGCATGTTTTCTATTTTTTTAGACTATACTTTAGATATTAGATCCTGGCAACAATGAGTAGTCTGAAAATATCATAATGAAATAACATGTCATGTATAATTTGATAATGTTATTGTAATACAGAGCATTGAAAAGTAATATAAGACTTGTTCAGCGAGCAAAAGATACTACTAACAAAGAACTTAATTTGAAGAATTGGAATCTTTTACTGTGGAAACTGCATGATAATCTGCTTTCTATGTTAGGATAGTACATTATATAGTTTGAGAGAATAACAAGTAAATAACCAAACCATGTAAAGTTAGCAGTAGCAAGTATAGGGTTGCAATTAGGAGGGCAAGCAGGGAAAATATGTAAATAAGGCTCAAAAGTGAGTTGCATACAGTTTTTTAATTAAGGAAATAATCAATGTACATACTAAACAGTAATTTTATGTACAAAATAAGAATAGCATAATACAATTTCGGATTTAAAATCTGATGGTGTACTAACTTATATAAAATAATACAGTGTGGTATAATTTGTATGAATTAAATTTTACTAACAATGAAAAATGCTTGTGTGCATAATGTAAACTAAAAAAGACGGGTTTTTATGTTACCTAGGTAATGGAAGAAAGTCTAATTATAGCTGTAACTGTACACCATAAAACGGTTGTTATATGCATCAACATTCTATATTGTATACAATGTCCATATGATTACTACACCGCTATTAAAAGTAACAATGTAATACTAAAGAAAATCTGTATTAAATTGAAGATGCCTACATACAACGCATCTACAAGATGTGTGCATGCGGCATGAGTGCATACATGTATACCTATCATTCACTTTTCACCTGTATTTTTTTCATTTTCTACATTACTTTTTATATTTTACATTCTATTTTGGTATCTTGCATAAAAGAATGTAGAAAGTATCTATTGACTGTAATGTAAATGTTATTCTAAATATATACATATATTTATTTTACCTAGCTTAATTATGGTACTCATTGCTCCTTTTGCACTATAACAATAAGTACAATCAGTGACATACCCAAATGTTAAAAGAAGAAGTGAACCAATTTTACCCCAAAGCAGTTTCTGTTTGTTACATTGTTACACTAAAACTAATAAGAAAGGTACAAAAAAATGCGTAATAATTACGTCCTCTAAGAAAGATGACAAGATCTATTTATAATTATCGCTGTTATCATGCAAAGTCATATAAATGCTGAAAATATTAAATATAACATTCAGGTTTTATAAATGATAAGACTAGAAGATCTTATGTGATTGTAGTGTGCATATAAGGTAATATCAAGTTATATTACTCCTAATTGTTTCCCAATTAAAGCGCTCTATTATTATAAATAATATAATATGCTTCAAAATATTACTTGTATGATCATTTCTATGTATATTTTATATATTAAAGATATATAATGGAAGTTCGACACTGTTGTACATACCCTTCCTGTATTTCATTAATATTGTAGTAGTAAAATAAATTTTATTATCAATTATAAAAATAGCAATAAAATAGTCTTATTGATTTACTCGTTAATATATTAATATAATTGT